CTTTGGACCAAACGACCCACTTGGCTCTGTACATTCCCCTCTCTGCAAGCAAAGTAAATAATGCAAATAAACCAAATCAATAAGACTCATAAGTAATAAAAAAAAAAAGAATCAAATACAACAATGACTAAATAAAAATTATATACAGAAATGATTAATAGATCTAAGATTTGATTCTTGCCAAGGTGCATATGATGGCCCGGCTAACATATTCAACTGACCATATGAAGGCCTTGATAACAAATTTGATTGACCACTTGGCAAGACCATATTGGGAAGTGGATCCTGACTAGGATTGAACTGCTGCTGTTAATACAACATTGATGCTGGCATGCTGCTGTTGATGCAACATTGATGCTGGCATAGGCACGGAATTTAGCAAAGGCATTGGAAATGGTGACTGTTGCTGGTTTTGCAAGAGCTACGGCCGACCAGCAGGAAATTCATTCGGAAAGATGTTATTGTGCGGTTGCAGACATTGAGTACCTTCTGACCAAACTCCATTTGAAGGTGTGGCTAAAGTGGCAGACCGTGGCATCACTGGGAATGGTTGAATGAAGCCAGGCCTGCTAACAAAACTTTGTCCTGTGACAGAAGATGAACAATTAGGATTACTGAGTGATCCTGCAACAGAGGGGGGAGATTATGTCCATACTGATTGGGTGGTTTCTGACCTTCCACAGACTGTGCCTGCACGGTGGCTGTATGTCTACCTTTTCTCCATGTGCCATCCCTATTTTTTATTTTCTTTTTATTATCCTTCCTAATTTCATGTCTCTGTTTGTTCATGCCTCTTTTCCATTTTTAGCATCCTCTTATACTCAACCTCTTTAATTCTCATCATCTGAAACCTCTTCATCATTCTCACCAGCTGCATCATAACCATTTTTGTAAAGATTCTTATCATTTAGAACATGACTAGCAAATGCTGGTACAAATGATATCAAATTACCTTCATGGATTCCAGCAGGGACCTCACTTTCTGAGTTGTATCGTACTGCATCATATGGGTTTTTAACAGGTCCAAAGATTTCATCCACCAACCCTAGTGCCTGTCTCTTATCAGTTATCCAAAGGACAGAACCAGAACCCTCATGCAGAGGATTATGCTTGTCACTCCCTTCTACAACAACTTTTGCACCAACAATCTGTACAATTGGAAGTAACATCACCACATTGAACTAGCCAATTATCATAAGCAGACTGACATTTTTTGTTTCATAAAAAAAAATTCAAATCAAAAAGTTTTTTCAACTTACCGTCTAAATAATGCCAAGTGGCAGCATTTCATGATGTGGTTGCAGTCTAACATTCATGGGAGGGACTAGAGGGAGATCCTGCCAAATTTAACACAATTTATTTGATATGAAAACCATACAACAGGAGTTTCCTGTTAACCACGTAGATACTAGATGGTATAAATTTAGCGAAAATTATATGCCATCAGATAAACAAACAAGATGACACATGTAACATTTAAACCTCCATGGCACAATATATACAAATTGATGTGCATCGATATGTCATAAAAAAGAAATAATTTAGCATCCCATCAAAAAGGAATAAACAAAAGAAGAAGAAAGAAATATTTAAATCCCATCTAAGTGCCTGTGTAATTTTCACAATGATCATTGGAACAAGTGTTAAAAATAATTCATGCACTAAACAATTTTCTCAGCAGCAAAATAGCAATCCATCAAGGCCTCAATGCAGCAAACACATGTTGTATATTTAAACTGCAACTTGCGAAAATCACATCAATCAGAATTTCCTATTCCTAACCCACACTCATCAATGGTTCAGACTTCAAAAGTAAAAAATATCTACATTAAACATCCCACTTGGCAATCATTGTAGTTGCAGAACAACAAAAGATGTGTGAGTCCTGAAATGTCAAACAAAGCAGTATATGCACAAATGTACTTCCAATAAAAACCAACAAGGAAATGACTTCTTGCCTGAACCTAATTCTTTGACCTAATAGGAGCCCTTGGAGCATTTCCATCTTCATCATCATCATCATCATCTGGATCATTATATTCAATAAGAGGCCCATCATCCTCAACATAATCATCATGATCAATGTTACAGGTAGTTCCACCAACCATCTTCTCTTCACCAATGTCCCTTATCTCACCTTCTTCAAGCTCCCTTGTTTCATCTAGCTCTCTTTTCACCTCTGTTTTAACTTCCTCCTCCTCCTCCTCCTCCTCCTCCTCCTCATCATCATCATCATCACTGCTACTACTAGAAGAAGAGCTTTCACTCTCAGACTCCTCTGAACTACTACTCACACTTTCATCCTCTACATTTGCATTCTCACCCTTCCCATAGTCCCCATGAACAGTAAGAGAACTTCCTGAACCACCAACCAAACTAACCTTTCCCATCCCCTCCTCAATACAGCAACTGAAATCTGCCTTAGCTTTCTGCTCTTCTGCCTCCACCTTCACCTTCAGCTTGCAACCTAACCCACCTCCAACTGGCTCAAACCCATTAACAATTGACTCAGACCCAGCATATCTTTTCCCACTGCACTCTTCTTTCCCAATTTCCGTAACCCCAAAATCAGTGTTCTCTAAACCAGTCTTATCTGGATTAGGGTTATCCTCCAACCAGTCATTCACGGAGTCAAAATCAAGTAATGAATCAGTAAAGGATGAATCATTGATTTTGGTGTCAAGAGTGTGGAATGGATCCTTGAAACCTTTGAGATTTGAAGTTTGATTGAGGTCTTCTTTAGAGCAAGGGTCATAAGTAAACCCTACCATCTCCAAAGATGTACTCTAGTATCTGGAATAATTAGAACAACAAGAGCAAAAACACTAATGTCGGGTATCCATTCACGTGAACATTCTAAATTTTAAGGAAAGCAGTGAAAATATTGTTGTCACTCAGTATACGAATATGGTTACAATAGTCATAAGATTGAGATGTTATGAATCTATGTCTCATTCCCTCTCACTTTCTCTTCTCCTTTTTGCAGCCCCTATCATATTACAACTTTCCCTTCCCTTCTTGATCCTCCAGCCTAATTTCAATTGTGCCTTGCATATTGTAGCGAGACTAACACTAAAGCAAATAGATTACACTTGAAAGAAAAATTAAAAACAACCAAACTCCCATCGCAAAATATGTCTTTTTTTATGAATCACTCATAAAGGAGCATTCTTGACAGTAAACATGAACCACAAAAGAGGCTTTCCAGATTTATAAACAAGTTTATGAAAATTATCTTTTACATCACGAACTATAATCATAAATTCAGACCCGAAAAAGGCAAAAACACAGCAAACCCCCTGATAGTTCAAGAACCTGCCCTCAAATAAGGATATCAACAGTGCAAAGAAACACCATAGAGTTCACATGAGATGAGATTGCGGATGTAATACTTGTACCGACAGCAGAGTAGCGTGGCTGTGGACAGAGACTTAATGCAGTGGCCTTAAAGGTGCAAACTGTGGCTCCTGAATATCAGACGGCGGCAACATACTCCGTGGAGAAAAGGCTGGGAAGAAATTCTCTCTCTTCCTCACATTACTCTCAGCTACTACACCTTGTGAGTTCTATTTTTTTCACTTGAAGATATGCGAGATTGGAGGATAATCGACATTGTTAGCCGTTAGAATTTTCAATTGAGGGGTTTGATGGGTAGGGTTTACAGGAGGGGGAGACGTATTTCTGACCGTTGGGCTTGGGAAAGATCAGATGGTTAATTCAATTCGTCGAGGATAAGAACATTTGCAATTGTAACCTGTTATATTAAGAAAAAATAAATAATAAAAACAACTAATAAAATATTAAGGCGTCCAGTTTTTACAATAATTAACAATTGAGAGATCTAAAAATTCAGTACATACATTATAATCATCCATTAAATGAGTGTTAGGAGTGCACTGTACTCACGATTGACTGATGAACGTTTTGATAACAATAACATTATTATTGCTAGCTATAGCACTGTCCTTGTTTTATCCTCTTTCTTCTCTAAGGACTTGAATGTACTAGTAAGGAAACAAGAAGGGTACAATACTAAAATGTCATATAAAAAAATTGTTTCAGTTGGGTACAAGAAACGATGTCGTTTTACTGAAAAAAATCTCGCTTTTTGGAGTGTACTTTCTTCCCACTCACCTCGGCCGGAAGTCGCGAGAGAAACAGAGATGGCGAGGAGGCGGGACGCGCGAGTCGCGCCGAGTCAATACCGGCGCTCAGAGCGAGTCGAGAAGCCAACTCAGGAGTTCAAAGTCGACGGCTCTGGTTTCGATCGGAAGCTAATTGCCATATTCGTATTCCTTTTCGTTGTTATCCCCTCCGTATCTGTATTAGTATACAAGATCAACACTGCTCGGCCGACGAACCGTTCCGAAGTGCTCGTACCTCGACGAGGACTCATCAAAACTGACATCAATTACCAAGAGATCCTTTCTGTAAGCTATGTATTTGTAATTGAATTTAGCTTATCTATTGCCATCAATGAACTGCAATCTCTGTATTCCCTGGAGCTCTTTTTTTCCTAAGTTTCTGAGTTCTTTTGTGTATATCAGGAGAATTCGAAGCTAACGGAGAATGCGTCACACCGGCATTACAATTATCCTGTTTTGGCCTACATTACTCCATGGTAGGTTCATCCATTTTATGCTATTTTGTTGATTGAGTCTTGATTACTTGATTTCTGCTTTTGCTGCTGAATTCTGCAGGAATTCTCGGGGCTATGAAATGGCAAAGAGATTCACCTCTAAGTTCACGCATTTATCACCGGTGTGGTATGATCTGAAAAGGTATTCAAAATCTCTGTTTCTGAATTTAGGGAAAGTGAGAAGAGAAGCTTTTATTTTTCCTGCTATTTGAGTTCTACATAATTTTCTATAGCAGCCAAGGAAGCAGCTTGTTATTGGAGGGGAGACATAATGCTGATAAACAATGGCTATCTGAGATTAAAATGAATGGAGATGCTCTGGTAATTTTTTTTTTTTTTAAAGCTTGGATTTTGTCGGTCACATGAGAAATTGAAGTAGTTTTTGTAGAACATTATTGAATTTGTGTTGGTCTGTTGTCAAAAACATTGCCTAGTCAAGATTAAATTTGTTTTCAATCATTTGAATGCCTGTAAAGATTATTTCTCCCTTAAGCTTTAAATAGAGAAATACCTTTTTTTTTTTTCTTTTTTTTTTTGTTTTGTGGTTTTAGGTGTTACCTAGAGTTGTTCTGGAAGCATCTCCAATGGAATTGCTCAGAAAGAAGAAACAGAGGGATAAAGCTATTGAACTGATGGTAACAGAATGCAAGTAAGCCTCAATTACAATGGATTTATTTAACCATTTCCTAAGGTAACTGCTCTTTGGTTTTCTCCTCAATGAATAGGGAAATGCAGTATGATGGTATTGTTCTAGAGTCTTGGTCCAGATGGGCAGCTTATGGTATTCTCAATGATCCAGACAAGAGGAATATGGTTGGTAATCATATACTAGGTGTTTCTTCTGTTTTAGAACTTTACAGTTGTCTGGTTTTCAGAACTTGAGGTTTACATGGTTTTGTGCTGTTAGCTTGTTAGGTCGGGCTACTTAAATATAGAACGAATTCATTTGGATTTCTTATTGACTCAGTTAATTGTTTTAATCTTTTTTTTTTTTTTTTCCTTTTTGTGCAAACCTTTTAATGCTTTACTTCTTCAGTCTTGTGTTGTTTGTCGAAATTTCCTTTTGAGGCTGGTCCTCACTGCATGTAAAATTGAAGTTTATTTAATACGGAAGCAATAAATTGAAAGTTTGGATTTCCAGTTTCTCCTTCCCTTTTTTGCTTGATATGTGACCTTTGAGCTCACAGACCTGGCAAAACTTTTTTTCATGCTGATTTCTAATCGTCAGATTAGCAGTTTAAGTTGAAGCCACCAGCATGATCTTGCTCTTTCTAATTGTTAGTCTGATGATTTCTTTTCTTACTGGCAAGCTTAGGCACTAAATTTTGTAAAACAACTTGGACATGCGCTGCATTCTGTGAACTCAACCAGGAACAGGGAGCAAAAATTGCAGTTGATATACGTTATAGGTCCACCACGTTCAGAGCGGCTTCAGCAGCATGATTTTGGGCCTGAAGATCTTCAGAGCTTGGATGATGCTGTAGATGGCTTCTCACTCATGACTTATGACTTCTCAAATCCCCATAACCCAGGTCCAAATGCACCCACGCAATGGATACACTTCACCTTGCAGTCACTACTTGGTCCCCCTGGCAAGACTGCTTGGAGCCTTGCTCGCAAGATATTTCTTGGCATCAATTTTTATGGAAATGATTTCACCCTTTCAGGAGGTATTGCATTATTTCCTCATTTATTTCTTTAAGTGATTGGTTTTTAGACTCACCTCAGTATGTATAGGATGTACACTTATCACATCAATGTGGATAGAACATTGGAACATTAATCCTCCAAGCCTAATTCCCTGACCCAGAGAAAATACAATAGGAAGCCTTTGTGGTTTGTCTTCTATTGCCCTGGTATCTGCATGTATTATACCTTCTGATTCATTCTGTTCTTCCCTTGTAGCCTGTAGGAATTATTTGAACTGCTTGGGAGTGTAATTTAGTCGAATCACATTTCCTGTGTGTAAAACCTCATTTAGTCCAGTCATCTAGTGACCTTTATATTTATAAATACATTCACTTGATCTAGGGCAGTATTATCATGATCTTAGTAGGAATCAGGCTTTTCCAAAGACAGTTTTTGTATTTGAATGTGAAATAAAATGCCATCCATTTTCAAATCATGCAGGTTCTGGCGGTGGACCTATCATTGGAAGGGATTACATCTCGTTGTTGGAGAAACACAAGCCTGCATTTCAGTGGGAAAAGAATAGCGGAGAGCACTTCTTCTTATATTCAGATGACAATCATATCAACCATGCCGTCTTTTACCCGACGTCGATGTCTATTCACCTCCGACTGGAGGAAGCCCGGTCATGGGGAACTGGCATTTCAATATGGGAAATCGGACAGGGTTTGGATAACTTTTTTGATCTTCTGTAACAACAATTTTGGTCCTTTTTAATGCAATATAAACAGGACCTTCCTAATATTCACAGTAGTTTATTTATCTCTGTATTAAATGGAATAAATACCCACGGGTACACAGTGTACCACTGTCTACCGTCTAGACGTGTACTTCTGTATGTAAGATGTACTGTAGAGTTTCAGACATTCTCAGCCACACAATCTTGTTAAACCAGAAATTCCATCTACACACAAGATCATCTCACTTGCCAAGTGTCATTTTACAAATGGATTGTAATCTAGTATCTAATGCCATGTCAGCACCATCTCCATCTAGTTTCTTTTCCCTTGTTTCTCTTGGAACAGATAGCAGAGAACTCTGCCATGGAAGCCCTCAATGCAACAAGCTTGACACCTCTTTCAGTTCTTTGTGAGAAAAGATCGGAACCCAGAAGAATATCATCTCTCCCGACTATTTCTGCATCCAAACTCTCAAGTTCTGCTACCTTTAACAGGACATCCCCAACTTTACAGGACTGTCTCTCGAGAAGCTTGCACGGGGGCCTTGCGCTACTTTCTTCAGTTTTCGCTGGTGACTTTGCCCAAGCTTTAACATATGAGGAAGGGTTGCAGCCGTTGACGGGGTCCTCCAGATCTGAAGTTGAATCGAGTGGGGTTCTTGATACTGTTGTTGGCTTTGTAACGGAGAATCCTGCTATTGTAGCCAGCGGCGCCGCCATTTTGGCAGTACCGATTGTTCTGTCTCAGGTGTTTGGCAAGTCTAAGCCATGGGGTAGTGAGTCTCCGAAGAGTGCTTATGCAAAGCTGGGGGAGGATGCCGGTGCGCAGTTGCTTGATATAAGGGGGCCAAAGGAGTTTAGGGAGGTTGGCAGTCCTGATGTCAGGGGTTTGGGTAAGAAGCCAGTATCGATTGTTTACAAGAGTGAGGAGAAGCCCAGGTTCTTGAAGAAGCTGTCTTTGAAGTTCAAGAAACCGGAAAATACCACATTGTTTATTCTGGACAAGTAAGCTCTTATTAAACCCTTACTTCTAGTTAAAGTCTGAGGTAATATAGAAGAAATGAAGAGGAACAGAATACTAGATAAAGAAACTTTCAAATGCTATTATGCTAAACATATCTGATAAGTAATTGATGAATAG